CCAGGTGGGGCGCTGCTGCCGTTACAGTAAGGTGCTGTGGCTGGTGACGGTGAGCACTTCTGTGGCCCCGCTCACGTGGATCGCTGTGGCCCTGCTTGGTGCCAGCTTCTATGAGTGTGCAGCAAGTGGGAGCAGCCTGATACAGAAGCACCTATGCAAAGGCAAAGGGACCCAGTGCCATGAGCAGGTGGCTAGAATGCCCTGTGGCGGGACTCTCTCCCATGAGGTAAAGGAATTTCTGAGTTTTCGGGCTCAGTCTCAGGTACGGTCCCTTCCATCCTTTATATGGATATCTAGGAATGGGTTAGATAGGCATCTATTAGAAGTGATCTAGATGATGCTTGCTCTTGCGGTGAGGACCTCTCGAGGTCCCTTCTAGTTCTGATATTCTCTCTCAATCGGTTTATCCCAATTGGGGTTAGCCCCATGGAGGTGCACTACACATGGAGTGGTTTCTGGAGTGCTGGAAAGCTGGAATAAATAGTTCAGTTAAACTAGGTGCTGTCCCCAACACCAAATGCCACTCAGCTTTCTTTTGCTGATGTGATGGCAAAGGGATGCAATATCGATGCTATCATATCTGAGGAAGTGGGTCTGGCCCACGAAAGCTCATCATCTAATAAACCACCTTGTTAGTCTTTAAAGTGCTACATTGTCCTGCATTTTGCATCATGTGAATCAGAAATTCTTGCGTTTAAATATTCTTAGCTGGCTAACATAAAGGTAACATTTTGTTAGTTGCATCTCCCACTGCAGTCTATATTGCTTTCTAATATTTGGCCTGCTGTCTAGCTGAGGCTACTGCTTCATAACAATATTCATACCTTTTCTTTTGAGGCAAATTGAGAATAAACCCTAGGCAGCTGGATGTCCCATAATTGGGCTTTTCGATCCTTGTATTTTCTACCTATTTCAACAAAGAGTTGTGTTGTGAATTTCTCTTATCTTTTTCCACTTCTTTACCTCGCTGTCTACATCATGAATGCTTTTAAGCAACTGTTTACTTCCCATACAGAGAGGGGAAGCTGGTGTTTATTTAACAATCTTTAACAACACCAGAGAATTAGCATGTGAAAAAGGAAGCATAGGGTTTCCCCTTGTAAGTCTTCAGGTTTGAAATTACTGTCAATGTCACACTCATTCCTTGTTCCCCCAGAAGAGCTGAAAAGGAAGAATGTGCTTGTGCACCTCTCACCTTTCTTTCTGATGTTAAAATGAGGGTTACCAATTTTGGGGACTTTCTTGTTTTAATTTCTCCAGTTTCTTTTTATTACAAATTCAGGTTTTGTTATATCCTCTTTTCACTAGAAGAAAAAGAGAGTATCCTTAATTGGAGTGTGCTAGCTGGAGGTAAAATCCTAGAAAAGATATGGCATTTTGTAGTTTTCACATGTGTAAGCTCCTCAGATTAATTATCCAGCTTCCCAGAGGCAACTGGTGTGAAAGCTACAGTCTGCCTTGTCTTCACAGGGAATTTACCTTAAATGAGCTAGCTTAAGTTAAGAACACCTTTTTTTCCTAAAGAAGATGTTTTCTACCATTGACCAGAGTACTAGATTTGTGAGATCTGGGAAACCATGTAATGGAAGTCTGATTAGGTTTGCTAGCAAGAGATTTTTATTCAGATAGTTTAATATGCTTCATTTTTATCAGCATCAATTTAACTCAAACGTGTTAGAGAAAAGAGTTGAAAGTTTTGTCAAACAGGTAGCATAGGGTTCCTTCACGTAAAAGGTCCCAACCCATCTTTGTCAGACATACAAAAAATCTGGTAAAACCAGCGGAGATAAAATTAGCAATTCATAATGTTTCTAAGGTAAAAAGAAAAAAAGGAAAGAGGTTATACTCTTATTTATTATCATTATTTTAAATCAGGTCTTTACACATAATTAAAAAGCAAAAGGGAATACAAAACCATTTTTTTTCTTTGATGGTCAACTTTAAGAATTGTAATAATGCACTGACTTTTTTACTTGTAAGATTAAATATGTGGGAAGTCTTATATGAGAATGGATGCTATTAACTTTTCACCTAGCCAGCATTTACAGCCCTTTCCAATGGAATGTTGGATAGAAACCTGAATCTACCCACACTGAGGATGAATTATCCTTCTCTTCTAAGACAGAAATCTCAATCCAGAGCTTTAAAGCTTAGCAACTATTTCTGAGGATGTTCAGGTACACGACCATGTTCACCTAATCTTGACAAAAAGCAGAGTGTGATTGGTCTTAGATCTCCTGTCTAAAACAATGTTAAATTACATATTTTTAGCCAGGAACTTTCCATGCTCTTAATCCTCTGCAAACTTCATTAATCCCTCTGTATGTTCCCCAAGGTGCTAGGATGGATTCTGATAGCCTGCATCATGGCTTTAGTACTGGTTGTCACATGCATCAACCGCTGTCGTTCTCCAGTCAGTTTTCTTCAGCTCAAATTCTGGAAAATCTATTTGGCAAAGGAAAAGGAGCTTTTTGAGAGCAAGGCCAAAGAGCATGCGACCAAGCTGGCAGAAAGGAACCTAAAGTGCTTCTTTGAATTCACTGATCCAGAACAATTTCAGACTCCCAGTAACAAAGACTGGCAGCAAATCTCATCCTTGTATGCTTTTAATACGAAAAGACAGTATTACAGCATGATACACAAATATGTTTGTGCCAATAGAGGCGCCAGCATCAAATCAACCGAAGGGGATATGTTTTCTCCTGCACTAGGATTTGTAGATGGCACTGATATTGATGAAACAGGTACAATATAATGACATACAGAATTCTACTTTTGTAGTGTGGACAGTTAGCTATGTAAAAATAATCTTGTTCCATGCGCTGATCTCTTTTATACATTAATGGAAATTTTGTGCAAATTCTCGCAGAATGAGATGGCCCATCAACTTTGCAGCATATTTTTAATGAATGTTGTTACTTTTGCTTAAGTGTCTTTAGTAAAATAAATATTTCTGGATGGTGGTTTTACAATATTCTTAAGTCCTTGTCTCTTTCAAGTTATGATGTTAAATAGTTGACACCTCCACACCAAAGGTAAGTGTATGTGCTGTTTTAAATTACTACAAAATACCTGCTAGCAATATATATAAGATAGTCTGTCAGATCAGAGCATTTGGCAATTAGACTTGAAAAAAAAAAAGTTTGATCCTTAGTATTGCACTAATACCGTATCTTTCAAATTAAGAAGTAGCTTTCTGGACTTTGACCCATAAACAAGTTCTTCACAAAGGTGTAGAGAAAGAGGGCGTGTTGACTGTGTCTTTGTATCATTGAGCAGGTGAGTGCTGATGAATCACTGCTTATAAGCTTGCTGTTAGTGCTGAAAGAGAGAACTATGCAATGTTCCGCAGCAGTCAGAATGGTATGCAAATTTAGGAGCCCTTAGAAAAGCAATAGATAAGACAGAAAGTAAAATGCTACTGTATAAATCCATGGCACACCCATGCCTGGAATACTGTGTGCAGTTCTGGTTGTCCCATCTCAGAAAAGATATCTTAGATCTGGAAAAAGGTACAGAGAAGGGGGCAAAAATGAACTTACATTTTAACCAATAAAAGTATCTATCCATGCCAAGCTTTAGAATTCATTATCTCCTCTTCCTAAGTAAATCTCTGAGAGTACGTCTACACTAGCCCCCTAGATCGATATAGGGAGGCTAATGAGGGCTACCGAAATTGCAAATCAAGCTCAGGATTTAAATATCCTGTGCTTGATTTGCATGTTCCCGGCTGGTCCCATTTTAGAAATTTACTAGCTCGAAGTAACTGCCTATGTCTACACACGGCAGTGAAACGGGATTCCGATTTAAAGCCCTAACTCGAATTAGTTGCTATTCCTCCTGCAATGAGGTTTACCAGCTAAGTCGATTTAGGGGCTTTCATTTGGAATCCCATTTCACTGCTGTGTGTAGACGCAGGCAGTTACTTCAGGCTAGTCAATTTCTAAAATGGCGGCCGGCCGGGAACATGCAAATCAAGCACGGGATATTTAAATCCCGAGCTTGATTTGCAATTTTGGTCACCCTCATAAGCCTCTCTAGATCGATCTAGGGGACTAGTGTAGACGTACCCTAAGTCTGTTTTTAAAGTCAACTTCCTCCACAAATATTTTTCCTAGCTGTACTTTTTTTGTGTAAAGTTGCTAATAGCTCCTGTTTTATTAAAACTGTTTCTACAAATGTAGGTGGAACCGAGTCCCACTGAAGTCAGTGGGAGTTTTGCTATTGATGTCAAGGGGATTGGGATTTTACCTACATCATTTAAAATTAGACTAGGTTAAAATTTGCTTTTATTTTTGCTCCATCAAAAATAAATATAAGCATTTTTTCATTCAACATTTTCCACAATTTCATGGGGTGGAAGAGAAAAGGGTGATGACTTTCAAAACTTAGAAAATGATAAAAAAGTGAGACAGAATTTAAATTGCATTACTCAAACCCCAGTTTTACAAGACAAAAATTCAGCTAGCTCTATTAAAAGTACATAAATCTAAAGTGAAATGAAAATGAGTACGCCCTTGTGGTAAAACTAAAGTGAGAGCTGCTTGAAACGTAGGAAGCCCAATGCCAGGCAAGAGGAATGAACAAATAAAAACTATGTAAATAACTATTATTGCCACTTTAACATTCAGCCTTTGCTATTTGTTATTCATCTTCATTTTTAGGAAACATAGTTAAATTATTTAATACTGTTGTGCAGGAATGACTGCAATCTGTGGGCTCGTCTTAGTTTTTATATTTGAAGAATTTTAACTTGAAAGGCAAAAATAATAGAGAAAAACCTTGTCAAGGTCAATAAATCATCCAATTATAGGCTCATTGGAAGTAAGCCTTTAAATAATATCTAAACTCACAACAAACAAATTCAGAATTAAGAAAGCATTTTAATTGATGGTATATTTAATGTTGTCAGTGATTTTTCAAAGTTCCCTGTCATGGCTAGACAGGTTTTGTTTTGTCTTTGTTTCAAGACCGGAGTGTGGCTGTGATTGCAAACTGATGCACTAGCGCCATCTAGCTTCTTTTCTAAGGCTACGTCTAGACTACAAGCCTCTTTTGAAAGAAGCTACAAGCTCTTCTTTTGACAGAGATCATCTAAACACCAACCAGTATTTTCGAGAAAGAGAGCCACTTTTTCAAAAGAGAGCACCTAGGCCGTCTGGATGCTCTCTTTTGAAAAAGCACTTTTTGCATTCAATAACGCCTTTTTTCAAAAGAGCACTTTCAAAAAAAACCATTATTCCTCTTAAAATGAGGTTTTCTGCAGTCGAAAAAACTGCCGTGTTCTTTCGATTTAATTTTGAAAGAACACAGCAGAAGTCTAGATGCAGGTGAAGTTTTTTCTTAAAAAGGTCACTTTTTTCGAAAAATCCCTGTAGTCTAGACACACGCTGGCTGTGTCTACATTGGCACCCCTTTCCGGAAAAGGGATGCTAATGTAGACTTTGGAATAGGCAAATCCGTGGGGGATTTAAATATCCCCTGCGGTATTTGCATTAACATGGCTGCCGCTTTTTTCCAGCTTGGAGATAAGCCGGAGAAAAGCGCCAGTCTAGACGTGATTCTCCGGAAAATAAAGCCTTTTCCGGAGGATCTCTTATTCCTACTTTCAAGCTTCTTTCAAGTAGGAATAAGAGATCCTCCGGAAAAGGCTTTATTTTCCGGAGAATCACGTCTAGACTGGCGCTTTTCTCCGGCTTATCTCCAAGCTGGAAAAAAGCGGCAGCCATGTTAATGCAAATACCGCAGGGGATATTTAAATCCCCCACGGATTTGCCTATTCCAAAGTCTACATTAGCATCCCTTTTCCGGAAAGGGGTGCCAATGTAGACACAGCCAGCGTGTGTCTAGACTACAGGGATTCATAACTGGAATACACTTTATGTGTTTTAGTTTTGGACTCCTGTATAACTTTTTTTCACTAAAGGAAGGTTGTACTTATCATATGAGTACTATGAAAGGATCACAGTCACAGTCTAGCTATCTATTTAAAAAGTGTAATACTCTGCTAAGCTTGCTATATCATTCAGTAGTACAGGCAGTCCCCGAGTTACGCGGATCCGACTTATGTCGAATCCGCAGTTACGAATGGGGTTTTTCTCGCCCCAGAGGACGAGAGCGGCGGGATACCCAGATGCGCCGCGGTCCCGCCG